GCGTGTAATTACTTCTTGATATAAGTATGAGTGTCTCTGGATTTGCTTCTCTAGTCAACCCAGCCTAACACACAATCCCGTGTGTGTTAGAATAGACTCATGCTCCATCAGCTTTTCAGAAGTCAATGGCAAGGCCTTTCTTCTGAGGTGCCTTGGAGCGGACTTGAACTTTCAATGTTTGATTAGTAGCTGAGTGTAGTAACCATTTGCACCACCTAAGGATAGCATTATTAGACAGGGGCTATTATAATTTCCATTTACACAGAAACTGGCACAGAGAGACTTAAGTAACTTGCCTAAAACACACAGCTAGGAAGTGGTTGAACTTAGATTTCTGAAATTCAACAGTCTGGGTCTAGTTTTAACTTTTCAATTACTAAGTTATGGCTTTTCCATGATTGCAAGCATATTGTAAATTTCTAACAGGGGCCTTCTACTGTGGTCTTGGTTATAGTGGCTAGTTGTGATAATGAGGCATTATATAGTTCTTCTGGTTTCGGGTTAGAGGAGGCTGTGGTTCAAATAGGGCATTTGTTCTTTGGACTAATTGCTTTCTACACAGCAATAAAGAATAATGATGGAATCCCTCTTTGATCCAGGACACTGATGCCATCAGACTAAGGAAGACCCCGAAACAGGGGCCGTATGAGCCACAACCACGGCCTCATTGCCAAATACCAGAAGCACCCAGGAGGCAGGGATAACGCCGGTGGTATGCATCGTCACACGATCAACTTCAACAAATACCATCCAGGTTCCTTTGGAGAAGTCTGTTTGAGGCACTACCACTTGAAGAGGAACCAGACCCTGTGCCCAACCGTTAACCTCAATACATTGTGGACCTTGGTTGATGAGTAGGGAAGGGTAAATGCTGCCCAAAAGACAGGAGCTGCTCCCGACATTGATGTGCTGCAGTTTGCCTACTACACAGTTCTGGGGAAGGGAAAACTCCCAAATCAATCTGTCATCCTGAAGGGCAAATTCTTCAGCAGAAGAGCTGAGGAGATTAAGGGCGTTAGGGGGCCGGGGGAGGGGTGGGCGGCTGTGTCCTGGTGGCTTTAAGCTATATCGAGGTTTAAATCTTAAAATGCTTTCCAAAAAAAAAAAAAAGAAGAATGATGGAATCCATGAAACTCAAAATAATAATGTAAAAAGACCAGATTACTGGTCTGAGACCAGAGGATTCCCCTCCTAATGCCTTCTAATTTGAAAGAGCTTTCTCTTCTAATTTGAAAGAGTTTTGAAATACTCACAGAAGCCACCTTTCAGCCAAATAGTAAAAATCCCAACCAAACTCACTGCCATTGAGTCTATCCCAACTCAGAGTAATCCTACAGCACAGAGTAGAACTGCCCCTGTAGGTTTCCCAGACTGCGAATCTTTACTGGAGTAAAAAGCCTCATCTTTCTCCTACTGAGCAGCTGGTGGTTTTGAACTACTGACCTTGTAGCTAGCAACCCAACGTGTAACTAATCTAAAAAAAATTCACTGCCATAATGTTGACTCATAAAGACCCTATAGGACAGGGTAGCCCTGCCCTTATGAGTTTCTGAGACATAACTGTTAACAGGAGTAGAAAGCCTCATCTTTCTCCTTCAGAACGGCTTTAGGTTTTGAACCGTAGACCTTGGAGATCGCAGCCCACTGGGTAACCACTATGCCACCAGGGCCCCTCTAGCTATGTAATAGAGATGACTAAAAACAATAACACCTGTGACAAATGTGCTTCTCAGAACAATCAACTATACAAAACCAAGAGGCAACACTTGCTCCAGATCAAAGATGACAAGACAGAGAAACGGTAGAATGGAATGGGGAAACTAGGGAGGAAGTCGGGAGACTGCAACCAACTTCGTGAAACAGCTTGTATATGAACCATTGATTGGAAAACGACTGTGTTGTGTAAATATTCACCTAAAGAACAATAAAAAGTTTGTTTTTTAAAATAGAGTTTTCTTACTTTAAGCCTACTTGAGTTCATGTAATTCCCTTGCTACCAGGATTATTTGGGACTGCTCAGAATTAGAAGCTGATCACTAACCTGGATGGGAGCTACCGTGGGGATCAATATTTGAAAATCTTTAAGGTTTTATTTAAGGCCATGAACCAGGTACGGCAAATACCTTTCCTTAATTGCCTTTAAAGTTTGAAATCAGGCATGGAACCAAAGTGCCATCTACTGTTCACATTCCTATGTAGCACCTGATGTGATATTTTGTGGCCTGCGTACATTCTCTTCTTGAAGAATGGGAGGGCAGGTAGAAAGGATCCAATTAGATTGAATCGTTAAGGCATTAACACCATCTTCATTTAAAAATTGATTTGCTTCAGGGGACAGTCTCCAAATCCTGACACCTATATCCTCAAAATATAATTTATAATAATTTTACATAAATTACACTCTTTTGCAAACTGCATATTAGATTTTATTTGCAACCATGCAACCTCGTGGTAATTTTCTAGGTGTGCTACTTGCAGTATTTACACAGGCACATGTACTGAAAACAACAAAACAAAAATCATCCCAGTCAGTAGCTCCTGCCACCTCACAATCCTTTTTATCTACCCCTTTCAGTATTTCAGTAACTTGCCTTTCTCCTTCAAGTCTCCATCACTGCCTGGATATTCTGGATATTCCTAAACTATCGGGATAGTTTAATACCTCAATAGATTCTTGGCCCTCTCCAGATGTTTTTAATTAAAAGATGAGGGTGGTAGTGCTTTAAAATCTATATGTTTTCAAATAAGCTTGGAACAGCAATGATAATTTGCATCAATAATTCAGAAGCGTGGGGGCAAACCATGCTACAGGCTTTAAAAAAAATGCATTTTGGATTTTTTTTAGGACTGGAATTAGGACTGGAAACCAAGTCCTAATTTCGATCTGACCACAAACTTTTAAGGGTAGCACTTAAGCCATCAGTGTGCTAAGCACAGTCACATTTTGGAAACTTCACTGAAACCACTGCCATAACCAGGAATGCCTGCTCCTCCAGAGCCCACCTTGCACCTGGGGAAACCCATCTCAAGGCCCAGGAAAAAGACAGATGGCTACAAAATGTTCTTTCTCAACACACACCCCTTATAAAAATATAACATTTTCCCTTTGAGCTTCCATAGTGTGGGAAAACGAGAACATGGAGGCTATCTGCCATCAAAAGCAGTCAGACCACCCCACCCTAAGCATGGCCCACTTCCTTCTGATAAGGATCACAGATTGCTCCCCTGGAGAAGAGGTCAGAGACGGCCAAGGTCAGGCCGCCATCTTAACTCTAGAACCGGCCCATCTTGTTATGTACCTTCCTGCCACACGGATGCCTCTGGTTCCTCCCCTTCCTGTTATGTAGGTTTACTAGGGCTTGCTCGCACGAGATTATATAGGCCTGTTAAGAGCAAACACCCAAAGTGACTGTGGTAGCATACGCTTGGTCTAATTGAGTTATGGACTGTTATGATATCTGTAAGAGCTCCCAATAAAATGATTAAAAATATATACTAAAATAAACAAGTAAAATACAAATAGATGGTGGGGGGGAGAATACATTTGCCCATCACTCTTTCTGGTTGCCATGGGAGAGCTGAGTACTTGCATGTCTTGTCTTGTTTAATTCACCCCTCAATCACACAACCGCCCCCTAGTGCCCATTCAGTTGTTATGGCTGGTCCCCACACCATAGTATGTTATGTTCAGTTCTGTTAGGTAGCTGGCACAGGGACTGGGGTGTCCATTACAAATGCTCAGAGGTTCGGAGCGTCTGGCCAGGAAGGGGTGGTACACCTAGGTAGGCGTTACACCTGGACTGGCCCAGCTTGGCCAGGTGAATTCAATTCAGCCATTGGGGTTGACCAGGATCGTCGGCCATGCCTCCTAGGGGAGGGCCTGCAAAGCCAGAATCCAGAGCCTTGCGGCCCCGTGTGCTTCTCAAGCTGCTGCTCAGAGGCCATGCAGTGATCCCCTGTTCTCAGGACTCCATGTGTGGGGGTGACGGGCCCTGAGGGTGCCTGTGTCAGCCTGAAACAACTTCTATCTTTCAGAATACTCACTTGGATCACAAGTCAGGCTTCAGAGTGAAATCTTTCTCACGTGAAGCCTAGGACTGAGGTATTTCTCCCACAAGAGAGAGATCTAACAGTTCTACTTTGTATTAGCATGTCATTCATTATATTCTAGTTATGTTTGGTTGTCCACCAGCCCTCGTTGTAGTGAAATGCCCATAAGGACAAGGATCATGTTGTATTTGTCTTGGTACCCCTCTGCAGCCACTGTAGTCCCTCATACAGAGTATAGCATCAACACAGGTTTTCTGTAATGACTCAGGGGCTACAGGGTAGCCTGTACATTTGATACAGCTCTGTATCAAATGGAAAGACCTACAAAAGTAGGAAATATGATCTTTGTGCTCAAAACCGTTGATAGATAACTAGGCAGACAAGTCTCACCATGCGAAACATTAAATGATACCAAATCAGCACAAGAACTAAGCAGTAAATCGATAATGAACTTGAGAATATTACAAAATAGCAGTATGGAAACAAAATAGCCATATTTTGATAGTGTCACCTGTGGCATTTGATTGTTTGCTTGAGATGTTGCTCTTGTATTAGAGTTTCAAGGAAAAGAAGAGCTTCAACTGCTATTTAAAAAGTGACAGGTCTGGACTGATTAAGAACTTGTTAAAATACGGATTTTTCACTCCCAGCTTTCTGTTTTAATAGGGCTAGATTGAGCACAAGAGTTTGCATTTCTAACACGTTTCCAGAGGTGGTTTTGTGCTGCTGTTGAACCACTCTTTGACAACCACCAGACTGAATAAACAGCCTGAGAGACGTGGTGATGGAGACGCGAGCACAAGGACGAGGCGTCACATTCCTGGAACCAACTCCAGCAGCATGGGAGACACCGGAGGAGTCCCTGGGTTGCACAAACAGTGAAGCACTCAGCTCGCTGAAGGTTGGTGGTGAGTAAATCCTCATGAGCTGCCTCAGAGACAGGCCAGGCCTGATGTTCTGCTTCTACAGGATCAACCATGGCCTTGAAACCCTGTAGCGCAGTTCTGTTCTGCAGACATGGCGTCATCATGCATGGGAATGGACTCGGGCTACTACCAGCACCATAGGAATGGAGGGGCCATGGCATGATTGGAGTAGTGGTAAAGGGGATGCAAAGAAAAAGACAGAAATAAAGGTGGGAGTGGGGGTGGGGGATTGTGAGGCACTGTTCTTGGTCCTGAACCAACAGGTTCTATTGGTGAATGGTTCTGTTGCCTTCTTCTAGGGCTTGTAGTTTAATTCTCGATCATTTGTAGAAGTCACGTAGCTTCTATACTGTGCACAGTGTAACTGCTCTGTGGGGTCTTCAAGGCTGTGACCTTCTGAAGCAGAAGGGTTACCCAGGTTTAGTTCAGAGGAATCATCAACCTTTCAGCTAGAAGTCTGGTGCTTAACTGTTTGTACAACCCAGGAAAATAGATAGATAGATAGATAGATAGATAGATAGATAGAT